AAAGCAGAGAGGACACACACACACTGGAATCCACTACTCAACCTCACCTCTTCCCTAGAGTAAAACATTAAAAGGCCTCAAAGAACCAAAGCTCGAACTACTGATGAAGCAGCGGTGTCTTTTGGAAATGGACTTAGATCAGCAGCAAATGCATATTAAACCCCTACAGAACCAGGAAACATCTGAAAAGGAAATGTAACTGAACCAGGTGTGGTAGCACATTCCTGTAATCCCAGCACTTGGAGGATGAAGAAGGATGACTGACGAGTTTGAAGTAAGCCTGGGCTACAGAACCAGACCCTGATTCCACAATCAATCGAGAAATAAACGCTGTGGGAGATGGCTCAGCGGTTCACACACACACACACGCACAATCCCACACACGTTCTGTACATATATACCTACAGAGGCAAAACACTCATACACATAAAATTAAAAAATAGATGAGTACCCACAACTACCTAATAACGTCATTAGAATATTCCTCCCACATATTCGGGTGAGACTGTATTTGTTTCATACGATTTGACCAGGTTAAGTACAAAAGATGTGGAAATCCAGCGTCTTCCGATGAGACAGATAAGGACTCGCCAATACAGAAAGTACAAAAAGACCGACACGTCTTACTACACTGCTCATTTTGAAAACGATTTATCCTGTTTTATTGTCAACACAATGGGTTAATATTATAAATCAACTAAATACATTTAAAGGTACTGATTTCTAATATTTACAAATATAACTCACAGTAACATTTTTCTTTGGGAAACTCGGTAATTTCTAAGGGCACATGAAGACCCTGAAACTAGAATAAAGTCTGAAAACCAACTTGAAAGCTCCAAGGAGCCGCCATGAGGCAGAGCCAGAGCTCCCTGGCTGCCGGAGAGAAGATTTAGGGTAAAGCCTCGGGTTCCCCGCAGTGGCTCCCGGATGGTGTCTCCTGGGAGCAGCTCAACCCCCGGGGATTCCTGGTTTCCAAAGAGCATCACTTCCCGGTCTTCCAAACTGAGTGGGATTCCTCTCCCCGGACACTGGTGACGCGACCACCATTCTCCCTCCCATTGGGTGTTGGGCTTTTACAGACGCCAGTCAGCGTCGCTGTGGTTCCGGGTTGTAAAGAGAACACAAACCTGCGCGGACTCGGCGTCTCCACAGCCCTGAGGATGGAGGCGACGGCGCCGCGTATCCTCCTCCAGCTGCTCACCGTCGCTCTGGCCCTGACCCAGACCCGCGGGGGTGAGTGCGGGTCCGGAGGGAAACGGCCCAGCCGGGCGGCCCTGCCTCCACCCGCGCCCCTGTCCCCGGGTCCGGGGAGAAGGCGGTGAGGTCCAGAACCTCCTTCACCACCCCCGCCCCCAGGTTTGCACTCGCTGCGGTACTTCGGCACCGCCATGACCCAGCCGGGCCACCGGGAGCCCCGGTTCGTCGCCTTCGGGTACGTGGACGACACGCAGTTCGTGCGCTTCGACAGCGACGCGGAGAATCCCCACGAGGAGCCCCGCGCACGGTGGATGGAGGCGAAGGGGCCGCAGTACTGGGAGCGGCAGACGCGCAGCGCCAAGGCCAACGCGCAGATCTTCCGGGAGAACCTGCGGGCCCTGCTGCGCTCCTACAACCACAGCGAGGACGGTTGGCGGCCCCGGCAGGATCTCCCCGCCCGGCGTAGCTTGGGGTGGCCCGGGAACCCACAGATACTCAGGTTTCCCGTCCGTTCCAGCAGGAGACGCTTAGTCAATCATGGCCCGTTCCCCCAGGGGGCCGGGCCGCAGGGCTGATTGCTGCTGCCTAGCAGGGTACCACACCATCCAGTCCATGCAGGGCTGCTACATGGGGAGTGATGGGCGCTTCCTTCGCGGGTACTACAAGACGGCCTACGATGGCGCCGACCACATCTCCCTGAACGAGGACCTTCACTCCTGGGCCGCAGCAAACAAGGTGGCCACGATCACCCAGCGCAAATACGAGCAGACAGGTGAGGCAACGCACCACAGGGCCTACCTGCAAGTTACGTGCATGGAGTGGCTCCCCAGCCATCTGGAGAACAGGAAGGAGATACTGCAACGTGCAGGTAACCTGGGGCTGCTGGACACCTTTCTGGAGAGCCCGTAGCTCTCCCTGCAGACCGCCCTTCCCTCTAGTCTAGCTAAAACGAAGCACACTAGGTGTTCAGGCGCTTGCTATCAGTGACTGAGAGCCCGCTTTTCTTCAGGGTCAGAACCCAGTGCCCCTCTCAAGAGACCTGGAGCCACTTACCCTGGGCTGCTCAGCCTGTTCTAGGACTTTTCAAGGAAGGTGATCCCAGAAGCTTCTGACTGGGTTTTGTGCTGCTTCTCCTACCCAAAGTGTCCTGTCCATCCTTAGGATGGACCCATGAGCACACTGCTTCAGTGATGCAGAGAAGTGATGCAAAGACCCTGAACTTATGTATTTAGATCCTCCGAAGACACATGTGACCCATCACCCCAGACCTGATGGAGACGTCGCCCTGAGGTGCTGGGCTCTGGGCTTCTACCCTGCTGAGATCACCTTGATATGGCAGAGGGATGGGGAGGACCAGACCCAGGACATGGAGCTTGTGGAGACCAGGCCTGCAGGGGATGGAACCTTCCAGAAGTGGGCAGCTATGGTGGTGCCTTCTGGGGAGGAGCAGAGATACACATGCTATGTGCAGCATGAGGGGCTGCCTGGGCCCCTCACCCTGAGATGGGGTAAGGAGGGGTGTGGGCACAGAGTCTGCTGTCAGGGAAAGCAGAAGCCTCCTGGAGCCCCTGAGCAGGGTCAGCACCCCTTACTCTACTTTCCCTTCCCAGTTCCATCTAGCCAACCCACTGTCCCCATTGTGGGAGTCATGGCTGGCCTGGTTTTCCTTTGCGGTGTGGTCATTGTTCTTATGTGGAGGAACTTACCAAGCAGGAAAGGTGAGAAGAGTGTGGTCTTATGTTTAAATTTTTATTTTGTGTTTTGCCTGCTTGTATGTAAGTTCACCCGTGTCCTGCAAAGCCCAAAGAGGGTGTCACATATCCTGGAACTGGAGTTACAGATGGTTGTAGTCACCATGTGGGTGCTGCGAATCGAACCCAGGTCCTCTGGAAGCAGCCAGCGCTCTTAACCACTGAGCTGTCTCTCCAGTCCAAGTGTGGTCTTTTAAAAATTGTATTACTGTATATGTGTATGCATGTCTGTGTGGGCATGCATGTCATGGCATGCATGTGGCGGTCAGGACAACTTTGTAGAGCTGGCTCTCTCCTTCCTTTATGTGGGTTCTGGGGACTCAAACTCGGGTCACCACACTTGCATGGCAAGCACCTTTAACTCACTGAGCCGTCTCCAGCTGTCGTCAGGGTTCCAAGCCCGTTTGTCCAGTCTTATGAATGGGAACACACACACTCTTTCCCAGCTTGGAAGCCTGTGTGTTCAGTTTTAGAAGCCACCTATGAAAATCAAAGACAGTGTCCACCATTGCCATTGTGCCGTGAAGACCTGATGACAGCAGCTGGGGTCAGAGGTCCCCCTGGAGGACCGACCTCCAAGGGCCGCTGCTCCCCCTGCACATTTCTCTTCCTGTTGCTTGGTCCTGCCCCGGATCTGCAGGACTTTCCCAAAGTTGCCGTGTTCAGGATTTGCTGGTTCTCTTAGGCTGTCAGGCCCTGCTGCCTCCCTGGCCTCTCACAGGTGGTTTTCTTTCTACAGGTAGAAGAGGTGGCTATGTTCAGGCTGCTAGTGAGTATGGAGGAGCTGGTCCCTGAGCGCCCTGGGGTAGTGTAGACAGGAGCCCATTTTCCCCTTTAGCCCCATGTCCTGTGGGCTCTGCCCTGTCTCTTAAGGCTTCTAAACGCTGAGCCACAGCAAAGTCTGAAGTCAGAGGCACCCTGGTGAGGTGGGACAGAACTGGATTTGAAGTGTAGATGGATACTGAGTTTGTGGTTGGCTTTTCAGCATCACCTCGGTATATTTTCTTATTGTTTCTACAGTGTGAGACTTGTGTGGGACTGGGCCACACAGTGTTTAACATCCCCATAAGTAAGTGTGACTTGAGGAGCTCCTGGTTTCTCTTACTACAGTTGGCATCCGACTCTGTTTGAGCTATCAGCAAAATGTGAGTTTGTTCCAGCAGACGGCTAGACCATCTCCATCCCTGTCTATTGAGAACAAGCACATGGACATGAATTTGGGTTCAAAATCCTTACCCTGGGGTGGAGTTGATGGTTTAGTGTATAGGAAGTAGGAAGTTGCTTAAAACTTGGAGGAAAATAAAACCTGAGACGTCCAGAACCCACGTCTTTTGCTATGTGCGTCTGTTCCAGGCGGGACAGAAGGAGGAGGAGGACCCAAGCATGGTTGGGGCTGTTGCCCGGCTGGCGCTCAGTCCATTGTAAGCTTTTTATCCAGGTCATGCTAACTTTTGTTGTTCTTGCCCAATCAGTAGAGCTTCCTTCCACCAGAACCTGTGATCACAGGGACTCGGCCCTGGCCCGTCCTGCCTTGTCCTGTATCTGAGGGCAGTGTGTCAGGTCAGGTTTGCACCAGGCCTGAGTCCAATATTCAGGCTCCAACTGATGTGTGTCTTAATTTTTGTAGAAGCCTCAAACACAGAAGACTCGACCTCAGGACACAAACTTTTCTAGGTCCACCTCTTACCTCCCTGCTTCCAGGGTACTTTACTATTCTTTCCCCTGCCTTGATGAGGCTCTAGATCCCAGAGTTAGCAGAGCATCTCACGGTCACTCATCTTACCTATGTTAAGAGTCCAGGTCTACAAATGACCCTTCCCCCCAAAGCAGCATAGTCTCCTCACAAAACAAGAACTAGCCAGGCAAGTGCATTTAGAGCTATGTCAGCACAAAGCTGTTTCCCAGATAATTTTACAAGACAAAACAAGTCCTGCGCACCCCCAGACCCACTACTGTAAGAGCTGCCTCAGCATAAACTACTTCCTTTAAGTTTGGAAGGGAAACAGACCCCCTTAATCTCACGACCCAAGACCCAGGGACTGTCTCAGCAGAGACTGCTTCTTCCTGGCAGAATCCAGACCCCTCTCCTTGCAATAATTTTTCCCACATTCCGCACTCCCTAGCCCCCCTATAAAAGCCCTCAGACAACAGCCTGTAACCTGACAGCTCCTCCATCCTAAACTGGGGACTGTCCCATGTGTTTTCTCTACCAATAAACTACCCCGCTGGAGCTCTTGTCTGTGTCCTGGTGCTTTCTCCCGATCCACTCCATTCACCTATCAGCCTAAGTTCCTGCTGCTGTTCTGCTGACAGATCCTCTCTCTTCCCCTAGCTCAAGTAACCCTAGCACTGGTTCAGTGCAAACCTGTGTACTTTAGAGTCTAAATTAGACTGTTATTTGGGTGGAAAATATGACCGTTAACAATCACGTGTTCTGAGAAACGTATTTGTGTGCTCTGGATGCAGGAGGGAGGCAGGAAGGGGAGGGAAAGATCCGTGAGGAGCCTGTTCTGCAGCTGCCACACAGGAGGGAGGCAGGAAGGGGAGAGAAAGATCTGTGTGAGAAGCCCGGGCAGCGTTCCGTGTGAGGAGCCTGTTCTGCAGCTGCCACACAGCAGCACTGGCCTGAGGCTCCATCACTGAAGCTACTAGAAAGGATGGTGCTGCACGCTGGCCTCATGAGCCAACGCAGGCACAGCTCCCTGAGTGTTACTCTACTGCGCACGACAGACACTGCATTTTACAGTGGAAGGTTTCTGACAGCCCTGCCTCAAGCAGGTCCACTGGGGCCGTTTTTCCAAATGGCTCAGGCTCACTTCATGTCTCCATGTCACATTTTGGTCATTCTGTCACCACTTTGTTTTATTTTTATCTCTGACATGGCAAAGTATGATCTTTGCTGCTAGTAGTGAAATTGCTTTGCCACACCACAGACAATGCCCATATAAGGCGGCATATTATTCAATGTGTCTGTGTGCTCTGACAGCCCCACTGACCGGCTATCTCCCATCTTGCTGTCCTCGGGCCTTCTTATTCCCAGAGACAGTACTGAAATTAGCAGCCCTACCATGGTGCCTGAGTGTCCAAGTGAGAGTCCCAGGTTAAATCACAAGCTAAAAACGATGAAACTCAGTGAGGAAGGCACGCTCAAGTCAGAGACAGGCAAGCTGCTAGGCCCCTCTCCAGTCAGCCAGGCTGTGGATGGAAAGGAAAGAGACTCCACTGAACACATGACCAGTAAGAAAGCAAAACAGCCTTCCTGCTGATGAGGAAAGACTTCCTGTGGTCTGGGTAGAAGACTGAACCAGCCACAGCATTCCCTCAAGCCAAAGCCCACTGCAGAACAAGGCCCTACACCCCGCAGTTCTAGGTCCTGAGAGATGTCTGAAGCTAGCAGAGGTTCATTCCTGAGGTATAAGGGAAGAAACTGTCTCCACACCTATGTAGAAGTAGCAACAAGTTACCTAAAGATCTGACGAGAACTGATGAAGGGGGCTGTGCTGAGCACTGGACTTCTGACTAGACATAACCGCCTTGCAGTAGAGGAAGACTCCAGATTTCACTTTCACAGCCAGAGAGACCCCATCTCAAAGAGTGTCTTCTTGAGATGGAATCTTCTCCTGCGAGCACACTGAACACTGTTCAAAGACAACAGAGTGGACTATAACATGAACTCAGCTGATAAAGCAGCAGCAGGTCTCCAGAGGACTGCCTGCAGATTTTAAAAAATAGTTTTTTTATGTGTATGAATGTATTGCCTTCATGTATGTAAGTGTACCCATGTTGTACAATGCCCTCAGGTCAGAAGAGGGCATCCAGTCCCCTGGAACTGGAGTTATAGATGGTTGTTGGCTGCCATGTGGGTGCTGGGAATAGAACCCAGGTCCTCTGCAAGAGCAGCCAGTGCTCTTAACCGCTGAGCATCTCTCCAGCCCTTGACTGCAGTTTTGAAAGAAGCTCAAGTGAGGGTAAAATGCTACCAAACACCATCGAAAATCCCCCCCACCCCAAGTTCTTGCTATATAGCCCAGTCTGGCTTCAAATTCAAAAGCAGCCCGAGTGTTGGGAGAACAGGTGTGCACTGCGCCTGGTTTTGCTAAGGAAAATCTAGTGAAATGAAGACTCGACTCATGCAGCAAACAGCCTTGTTTTCTCTCAATCCCTCACCTGTCCCCTGGAGAATCTAGGGGAGGAGAATCCTGAGTTAGAGGCCAGCCTGGGATACAAAGTGAGACCTGTCTCAATTAATCATCAATCAAAGGACACAGCTACCCCAATCTTCAGCAGCCACCACCTTGGTCAGCAGCCATCAACATCAAAGCAAAAGCCTCAACCAGAACGATCACAACTCAAAGCCAGATGATTAGAAATTTCTAGCAACCAGATGTCCAACCTGTGGAGCACATGCTCTACTAGGAAGCAGCAGACGGTAAGCCCAATTCTGTGGGTAAGCAGAGTAACTCAAGACAGTGCCCATGGAGGAGGTGGTAGTGTGTCAGGAAAGGTGGGCCAGAGTGTGGCCGTGAGCACAGCGCTCCTACAGCACTCAGTGAGGGCTTCACTAAGAAGGGGGCTAGTGTCTAAAGAGTTGAAGGACAGGAAGGAATTTGTCATGAGGCTGTTTGGAAGACGCCCCTGCCCCAAAATGGGGGGAATCCACTGATGCAAATGCCCCAGGGCAGGGTTCTGTCCGTGCTCTGGGGACAGCAGGGAATCAAGGGGGTGTGGGCAGTTGCTGAGGACAGAGAAGGCCAGGTCCTATAGGCGGGGCTCTTGGAAGGGTTCTTACTTTGAATGAGGCAGTTTTGAGAAAACAAACACAGAACAACTTTTCAAAGGCTAATTCTGCGCCATGCTGAAGGGAGCAGTGAGAAGGAAGCACTATCAAGACACGTAGGACTGTAGAGAGCTCCTCGAGGGTGGAGCGCAGAGGAGATGGGATGGGAGTGCCAGGATCCTGGACCCATTCTGCAGACACTTACAGCTCTTTGTGATGGACCGGAACAGGATGTGAGAAAGGAGTCAAGGACAGCAGACAGGGAGCAGGCTGACAAGGAGAAAGATGGGACCATCAGTGGAGAAGGGGAAGACCAGTGAGGGTGTGCATGGGGAACGGTGTGGCAGACAGTGTGGAGATGCTGAGCTGGACCGTCCATAAATACAGGTGGGGTGGGGGGTGGCAGTGGGGGAAGGCCAGTGCAGACATTGAGGAGAAATGGATTTGAAAGGGACAGCATATGAATGTCACTGAGACCCTTGAGAAGTGACAGGACACCAAGGAAGTGTGGGCTACAGGAGACAAAGGAACAGGGACTGAGCAGTGAGTATGAGTACTGTCATCTCAGCCCACACTCAGAGCAGATGAGTCATTCAGGCACCAACCACATCTAGACAGCTGGAAATGCAGGGTCCCAGCCTGCCTGTGCACAGCAATCACCTGGATGTCACAAGCAGGTCTACAGTGGAGTGAGAGCTTCCATGTTGATCACTGGCTAGTGCTGATGCTGCTGGTCTCCTGATAATACCCACAGTACCAAGGACAGACCAGGATCCCCAGGTTCTGCAAGTGTGTTTCTGGAATTCGAGTGCCTACCACTTGAGACAGTGGGTTTGGGGAAAGACCTGTGTCCTTTTAACAGTTCACAGACAACCTGGTACTCAAGACACATGGGGTCCCCTGAGGTCAACAATCAGTACAATGAAAACATCTAAAGCTGCACCTGGATGCAATAGGAATGAGTGCAGTAACTGCTGGCCACTGCCATGCTGGTCACCGCCATGGCAAAGAAGTGATTCCTAAATCTGATGGTAAGA